AGCCAATATCGAGCATCCCTAGTCCTGTTAGTGACCAAGCTAACAAGCATGAGCTATGAGCCCTACCGTATTCCTGACTGGCTAGCATGTTAGCGGCTAGCATGTTAGCGGTTAGCACGCCAGCTAATGTCCTGCAAGTATTCACTAATTCAGACACATTTCTCATTACAACTTCCATTTCTGTGTCCTGGGGTAATTGCTCATTAACCTCTTAATATATGCCAAATATAACCTAAAAAATAATCATTTTGAGTACTTTTGTAGTTTTGTTGGCTAGCTAGCAACTAGTTAACAACTAGCTAACTCCAACCATCATAAAACCACATTTGGCTCACAGGTAGCTAGCAGAGCAATATCAACGGTCAAGTGAGGTTATATAAGATGGGTGGGGGTCCAATCAGCCAAGTCCAATCAGTGTAATTTGATTACATAAATGTATGTAATGTGCCTCTGAGCTCAGATGAGTAATCAAAAATATTTTTACAGGAAAAGAAAAGAGAGGGATTTTGACACAAAAATAAAAAAAATATGTTTTTTGGACATGCAACAAGAGATAAATGAACAATTAATACAAGATGGCAGGATTAAGACTTGGAGAATGTAGCGCTGCTGTCTGGTTTTTGCTTGGTAAGTGCCTCCTGAGGTCTAACCCTCCCATCAGACGGTATTAAACTGCTCACTCACCCTGGTATCGAACAGTCTTGCGTGGAACTGGGTTCCAGTTGAGACCCAGCGACTTCTCCCATCCAACCAGAAACACCAGGAGCAAGACCTTCGTCCCACCCATGGCTCCCATGTCAGCTCCCATTTGTTGGAACTGGCGGTGAGTGATGGATCGACGGATCAATCAGATGATCGGAGGGATTCGAGAGAGCAGCCCGGCTCCTGGCAGCCTGCCGGGAGAAAGTAAAACCAACACATCAGCGGGGAACAGCAATTCACTTCTTTTATTGACTTGGTTGTTTATCAGAAACAATTCTGTCACAACAGTATTTACAACTTGCACATTTTTCAAAAAGCCACACACAACAGTTCACACATTCAAGCTGCACTGAAAGATACATTTCTCACTTTGAAAACATGCACTATAAAATTGAACATGGTCATCAAAATCCACAATAATGTAAAACAGAAATGAGTTATGCAAATCATTAAAACCAACAAGGACATAGCTGTAATCAGTGTATGCGCCTCTGTGTGTGTGTGTCTGCCAACAAAAACAAACCAAACATTTTAATGACTTTTGGCCGAGGGGGGTTATGCAGGAAAGTTCTCCCTGTCCCTCCCTCACTCAGAGTGATAATCTAGCTATCGCCACTCAAAAAGCTCAGAAATAGCTTATCGCCGCAGTCCTGTCAAGCCAATTCAGCAGCAGTATATTAAACTGGGGCTGAGTTATCAAAGTTAATTGGCGCTGGCAACGCATCAAACGCCAATGTGTTGGGAAATGAATGTCGAGGCAAGGACAATCCAATAGCACTGTGTTGTAAATGAATTGGTTTATACCTAATGAACATGTCAAGTGTGGGGCTACAGAGCTGCATTACAGTCCAATAACAGCACAGGATGATTGACTTGTTACTGTGATCCAGGTGAGACTGACGCACAGGGTGAGGAGAGGACGTTCACATTGAAATAGGACACACACACACACACACACACAGGGACAGACTCGCAAGTTTGTTTTTGTATGCTTGTGAGGACCTGCCAACCCTTACACCTTTACCTTATGAGATACTTTCATGTTGTATGAACTCATTGACATCAGTTACTGGCAAAATGTGTTAGGCACACTAAAGTTCAAGATGAAACATGTCATTTATTTATTTATTAACAAATAACTGTAAAATAAACCAGGAACAGCCATATAAATTCATTTCATTTTTATTGGTAGTTTCCTTTTTACTAGTAGTGTGAAAATAACATTTTAAAAATATATTTTAATAAGGCTGGACTGCTGTCATGTGGATTTGCTGCAGCCACCTGTGCTGACAAATCTCTATGATAAATGATGCCAAGTGGGTGATAAACAGCTAAGAAATAAATTACTTGTTCTGCTTGTTTTTCAAGACTTATTTATTAGTTAAAGGGTCAATCCACCCAAATCACACCATTGGAAATTGGATTTCAGACACCGTTTCATAATCTGATAAGCTCTTTGTTTAAAGTATACAAAGATAAGGCTTGAAGGATAATATGTTAGGGATAATTGATAAAACATTCTGTCAACATTTTTCATATAGGGACCTTATTTTTTTCTGGTAGAAAGTAATTCCAATGACATGGTTTTCAGATTTTCCATCGTAACTGGGAAATTGTCTGGAAAAGACATGACACTGTTACATTTAAATGTCATTTTTAAATGCTGTCAGTACCAGAAGTAAATTTCCTCTCACTATTCAAAGCAGAAAGAAAGACGGATATGTCAGAACCTCAGCACATAAAACCAACACTATCTATATGGCTGGATACCACTGGGAGTGTGAAATGAAAAAAATATGCTTTGTTTTTTTACAGTATACAGTAAAAACCCAGTGCATCTCCAACTCACTAACCACAATATAAACCTCTAGTCTAATTACCTAAATGAATGAACTTTAACCTAACCACTGCGGATATAAGAAATGATGGCTCTTTCTTAATGTTTGTATTCTTATGAAGACCAAATATCCTCATAAGAAGTGAAACACGCACACACACACAGAAATGCACCATCTGTAAGCTTTCCCCTCTGCACCTGCTGCTGCATATCAGCGAGTGAAATGGCGCCTTTGATGATGCATGCTCATTGGAGAAGTGAATCCATTGACTTTTAAACAGGCACAAAATGTCAAATTGTATTTACTCTAACCTTGCACAAAGACAGAAACTACCTCGGTATATGTAACGCATTTTATGTCTCCTACTCACGCTCCCTCATCTTGTCCCACATGTGAATATTAAATTCTAGTGCTGGCAAACAAACATTTGGTCTATTTGGTGGATTGGCAGGGGAGGTAATTGAGATTTGGAGACGTGTGTGTGTGCACGTGTGTGTGTTTGTGTGCCCACGTCCGACCAATGTGACTGTTATTGATTACACTTTTGAGAGGAAAATAAGAAGAGGCTGAAAGAAGAAAAAAATCAAAAACCCCCACACTCCCCCCCTCCCTCCAACCCAGATCAGATCATGGCGACGTGCTGTTAAATGAGCGTGCTTAAACGTTGGGTTCGGGTGAAAGCTCTTCGAGCCTCGCAGTGCCGACTACCAGCTTTATTGGATCGATGCTGGAGGCCTTGCCGGCCAACGCATGAGTGAGCCCAGATTGAGATTGAGATGGACGGAGAGAGAGGGAGGGAGCGAGGGATGAGAGAAATGGAGGAAGAGTTATAGAGAAAGAAAAAAAAAGATGTCTAGAGACATTGCAGGAGGCTTGAAATGTTTCTTTCTTTTTTTTCTCCCTCAAAATCCACTCTTCCGTCTCTGCACTGAGAGGTAACGAAGTGGGCATCCTGAAGGCCGGATTTAGTGAAGAGGCAGCGTGTAAACACTACAGGGGAAGATGAGGAGGAAGAGGATGGTGGAGGAGACGGAGATTCCAGGCTTCTGCCTGAGAAAAAGCTTAAAAATGATTTGCTGCCTCTTTCTGCTTTTCTTTCACTCCATCTCCCTCTTTTTCCTCCTCTCTAACAGCATAACAGTTCATCACTAATAATATTGCCAAGTCTTACACTAAATGTTGATTCTCAAATCCAGGAAACAATGCTTTATAAAGTCCTACTGAAATATAATCAATATGGTAGACCAATTTAAAAAAATATATATTTTGAAGAAAAGTGCATGCTGGGACAGACTGCAACCCCCTTTGACCATAACAGGAAAGTGGGCTACTTTTCAGTACATTTGTTAGCTTGCCTACTCGTACAGTAAAGCTGGAATTATAGTTAAAGCAAGGAGTTAACAGTAGTGCCTGTATAGATACTTATGGTGTAGGTTTCAGCGTTAGATTTCACCTGCTGATAGCACTACTACAGCACCAGATGGATGTATTCTACAGGATCAGGCTATAATTGCAATCCCAGGGATTGCTGCAATATAAATGACTTTCCAATGTCTGTATCAGTGTAGTATTATCAGAGAATTCTTTAATGTACGGGTCTGTCACAAAATAAAAGACCAACTCTGTTCAGAATGTATGGCTGGGGAAATATTAGATAATGAATAAAGAATGGCTAAATGCCATTGTCGTAAAACAACAACAAATGTAATTTCCATAATAAATTCCCACTAAATGCGTCCACTGTAACATTAAAACAACTCATAAAACAACACTGTCAAACCCACTGGCAGTGTGGTCCATAAGCAGTGGTGCAAGAAGTTCACTGATAATCTATTATCCTTTACTTCAAAGTAAAAGTAGCAATACTACAATGGAAAAGGTTACAAGTAAAAGTCCTGCATTCAAAATTATGCACCAAATGTATCAAAGCAAAAGTAGCCGCTGCGTCATGCAGAAGAATGGCCCCTGTGTGATACTCTATATGGTACTAATTCATTATGCTAACAGGTTCCCAGCATTTTAATGTTAAAACATACATTTGAGTGCTTTACAGAGTACAATATTCACCTAGCTTAAAAGAGAAGTAGTAAAGAGCAAGTACCTTAAAGGTTTCCATAACCATTTGAAAACCAGCGAAGACATAGTCTTCAGTTCAGTTTGACTCATTTAGCTTCTTTAATAGCATACAGCAGAGGGATAACGTGATGTGCCAATATAGAAAATTGAGCCATTCACCACAGAGCAATAACAATCAACTAAGAACAGATTAGCTAGCTGCAGTATTGTTTTCTATTCAGTGTTGTTGACGACTTCTCTTCACTTGACACCATTCTGCTGCTAAAATTGCATTGTGAATCTCGGAGCCACATCTGCTGGGAACTTTATGAACGCCCGGGGAGACGGCTGAAGTCGGTCTATGATGTATTTTTCTTTTTCTTTCTATCAAACCGACTCTTATGATCCCTCGCTGTGTTGTAAGAAGCGGGATTCAGCCTCACTCTCCCCTGGTGACCAAATTAACTCACTTGCTCCGTCTCTCACCACGGCCTCTTTAAGGTCCTGCGGTGTCACATAACTCTGCAGGCGGTATCAAATCATCTTTTAGCTGCTGGTGTTGTTGTTGAGCCTGGTTTAGCTAATGAGCTGAGACACGGCAGCCTAATAATATCAGTCAGCACTCCACAATGGAGAGCTCATTAAAACATACAGAGAAATAGGCCACATGTTCTGATTAGGTTGCTGAGCTCCTGTGTGTGTTTTGGCTGTGCTAGTCGATTTGTATGTGCATGTGCGTGCTGTGTTTTGTGTGATCAGTGTGTGTTTCTTGTTAGAGTGTATTTGGAGGTAAGATGAGTGCCTGTAGGGAGAAGCCAAGCAGGGTTGTTTCTTCGAAGTGAGCGAATGTCAGGGAAAAAAATGGAAGAGAATGACGACCCCCATCCTTCTGTCCTCTTTTCTTCACCGCTGTATGTCTGTGTTTTCCGTTGTCCTCTTCCTGCCCTTCATTTCCCCCACCTCTCCCATCCTGGCAGCCTTTTCCTACCCTTCATCATGCTACACGCACACACACACACACACACACACACACACACATTGACCTCTGGTGCAGTCCCAGCTGATTGCTAGTCCTTCCAGGCATTGTTTGACTTTTAACCCTGACCTCTGACCCTTTTCTGGGTTACAGAGAGCCAGGGCACATCACCCACCACCCTCCACTCCGACTGTCACACTGGGACAGACTTAATGTCCATTAACCCGTAACAGCCCCTATACACACACACACGTACGGACGGATGGACTAAAGGACAGCTCCCACCCTTCATCTACCCTCTCACCTCCCTGCAAAACAAACA